CTTGAAAGTGAGTATCGTCCGAGTAGTTTACGCGAGTAGTACAAATTTAAATAACACACTTTAAACGGTTTAAAACGCGAAATATATAGGTTTAAAATACATATTAAAGTGTTTGAAACGTCGGGCCGCAGTTAAAATCAATTGTAAATAAGGTTACTAATATATTTCGGATCTTAAACCATTAAGAATGTTTTATTAAAAACTATTTCTACCGCTCGCGTAAACCGCAGACTGAGTTCCAAAACTTCACTTCCAAGCCGTAGAGTTTTTTTTGCGGCCGTGGGCGTCGGGCCGAAGTTAAAAATAATTTTGAAATAAGTTTAACTAATATATATTGCGTTTTAAACCGTTAAAGTGTTTTATGTAAAAGAAATTATATTTTCAAAATTAACAGACGGAACATCATACTTGTCAGTTACAACGGACGAGTTGTTTTTAGTTTTCCATGGCCGCATCAAGCTTTTATCCGGATTTTCAGTGGCTATTCCGAGTAGATTACAATGAACATCCGAGTGATTTGTACTAGATGCCAGGGGTTTTTTTCAAACATATGCTCTGTTTTCTTTGAAAAAATCTAACACAAAATTATTTTTATGCGTATTTTTTACGCTGTAAATTTTTAAATCACCTTTATCAACACAATACATTAATATGGGGATGAAAATTTAAGCAATTATTTTTCCCCGTTAAAGGTACGAATCTACCAAATGACATGGGTTTTATGTTATGGTAAAATGGCTTCCATATGACGTCATTATGTTGCGCCGACATTTTTATTTTAAGCATGTAACAAAAATGTATTTTTTTTAAAGTCATGGTAAGCCAAACATTTTGAAAGACATTTCGGTGTAATGGAGTCAGTGATAAACGATTGAAAAGTTAGACTACCCACTTTTTAGTGTAAACTTGCACGCAAAGGTAAACTCTAGTTTTATTTTAACTGAGCGAAATAAGATTATGCCTTTCATCAATCAACAGGAATAATGTTCCAACATCTCGACTAAGCCAGTTAAATTAATATAACTGAATAAACAATAACTCACTGTTCCGTTAAATATGCAGGCTGGTGTAAAGTGGAGTGAAATATTACGCCACAGAACAGAAAATTATTAAGCACACCGCAAACGGGATGAGTTAATCTTAGCTGACAAATGGCTTGCAATTTTTATCTGAACGAAAACAATTTCTCACATTTATTAACGTTATCGGTGAAACCGTCTACCGTAACGCTGCTGCTTCCGAAACTCGAGTCGTAGTCTGATTACTAACTCCGCGTTTGAAACCGTTTTAGAAGGTTTTATTTAAGTTTGCTACACTCGCATAAAGTACAAGTTAAAATATATTTTAATAGAAGTCGAGTCGAAGAGACAATCAAAATTATTTGTTTGTATTTTGTGTTATTACATTTAGAACAAGCACATAGTATCTTTTCCATAAAGATATAGTAAGAACTATTTTTATAGACATACATTTTTAATTAAATATTATAAGACCAAGTACACATCTGCTGGCGAATTTCGTTGAATTATTAATTTAATTCTAGTCAAATATTCATAGAATGAGAACCGGCTCAAAATCAGGCCTCAAATTTACATAGATACCTATTAATGTAAGAAAGGAACTATTTTTTTTATTATAGAGTAAGACAGGCAACCATGCGGTTCACGTGAAGGTGAAATTCCCCAGCTATTTTTTTTGGATATTCGGAAACAAAGTTCACGGCTTTTTCATCTGTGGGCGATGGTTAGTAACCCGAATTGAATATCAGATTTTAAAACAAAGTCCAACTGTAACAGAAAAAATATAAATTTCATTACATTGTTGTACCCGATGGGGATCAAACCACGACCCGTTGATTATTAGCCCGACGAGCCCGTCAAATAATAATAATCACACTAATTGTTTTTGTATCTGCCGTATATCGTATAACGCAATATTTCCGCGCCTCGCACGGCACGTTAAGCTGCCAGCGGTTATAATCTCTTTTAATTAGGTCAAAGGTTTTACAGCTTCTATAGAAGAAGAAAGGGGCCCCGGCAATAGAAAAGTATAATAATAAATAAATTCATTTACTACCATAGGCCACACAAAAACATAGACTTATTACTTAATAAGTTTTAATATAAAAGTTAAGATTGGCAAAATAATTAAAAAAGAAAAAACATTCTATACATAATTTAATGTTAACAGTATAACTCAATATTAACAGTATAAAAATGTTGTGTGGTGCTAATTGGTAGAATAGGGTCTTACTCAGCTTATATCAGGTCTTTTGTTGACCTGAGACTGATTTTTGAGTAAGTCATTAGAGTGTGGGCAGCCAAACGCAAGTGAAAGTTTAAAAAAAAATGGTCTGCGATGGCATGTGTGTGAAATCCCGCTTCCCCCTCATGGGGGTAGTAGTAGTTGATCAGACTTCTGTGCCCTGCCTGACCGAAACAATTTTTTGTTTCCCTGGGATTTGAACCCAAGATCTCTCGCGCTTAACGAAATGCTAGGCAATACGTTTAACCATCTGGCTACAGAGGAGGTTATTGGTACCAGGGTTTATGAGAAACAGTTTCAAATTCTGTTAAAGTAACAAATATCTTTGATATATTAATGAGAAACTATATAAACGTGTCTGCGGAAGCCTTAACGTAGTAATTAAAATCGGATCAGTCAAACCCATCTCTTTCAATTTGATCTAGGATCAATTAGCATCCTGCATTTTGGAAGTAGTATTAAATTCAAATGGAATTTAACTTCTAAGTATAACTAAATACAACGTTAATAATGGGTTATTTTATTATGTCGTCGTCGTTCGTTCGTCGTTACAGCTATGTGCTGTAAAGTACAGACACAATTTTGTATGTATTTCAATGATCTAATGTTTAATAGGCCAGTATGTATGTTGTTAGATTCCTTTATTCACCTTGCCCGATGACATTTTATTATATTAGCTCATCCGGCAATCAATTTATTGTTGTTTGCAAGATTATTATGTGACTTCAGCTCCTAACCAATGCTAAAGCGCATTAATTCCTCCGAAACTCGCCGATTTCTAAAAACGGATCTTCCAAGATAATTTTAACATAATATACGACGTTTTAAACCGTTAAAGACTGTTTATAGTTTAAATGTGTACTACTCGTGTAAACTATAGACAGTAACGGTTTAGATTATTATTGATTAGTTAATATTACAAAACTCATTAATTTCCACTAATATTTCACGTTATCATAAAAACGGATCTTGCGTGTTAATCATAAAATATAGACATATTGGTGCTGACATTTTGTTAAATCATTTAAAGAGGAATAATTTTTTTTGGTTTCTTGAACCGTTTTCTCAGCGCACGCAACCTTTAAGATTCCTACATTTTTCCCTGCTTTTTCCACATTTTCCACGATTCCTTTACTCTAATTGGTCGCAGCGTATTATATAGCGCAATTATTTCCTTGTAAATAATACAACCCAGAACGTAATACCACGAACTGGTAGTTCCTGACATTAGCGTGTTTATAATATTAGTATACATTTTGATAAATCCTTGAACTTATTCAACAATTCTATTACGCTCAACTCATTGTTACTCACTGAGCTACGGAGTTAGAATTAATGAATGTTTTAATACTGTAATAAAATGTATAAAAACTAGGTTCGTCGGCAGAGGGAAGCAAGGTCGATCCACTTAACAATAATAGGTAGGAACGTTTGTCAATATTGATTTATGGCCATCAAAGAAAGTTTTTATTACTGTTCTTATGGTTTATACCTCGTCGAGGTTTACTGTGGCGTCACACGCAACTGAAATGTTTGTTCAGTTGATTGGATAAAACTATTGTAGATACATATTTTATTTGAGCCTTTTTCTTACAAGCAGTTGTCTTTTATTTGAATAAATTTGCGTTAATTTCGTAAAGAGTAAAATCCCGTTTCGTGGAACGAACACTTTTCTGTGTCGCTTTTATTTACAGGCAAGTATCAACTACTTGCCTATCCGATCGAAACAGTCTAGTGTTTTACTCGGATTCGAACGCAGAACCACTCGCGCATAGTATAATATAATTAGCATTTTCTGACTCTTAATAAATATAAGCAAGTATTTAGTTTAAAATAGCCCTTATCGGTTAAAAATACGAAATATATTAGTTAAATTATTTAAAATTACTGGTAACTAATAAATTTCGCGTTTTAAACTGTTTTATTTACATTTGTACTCCTCGCGTATAGTAGAGACGCTTAGTATTTTTTACTATCTGATAGGCCATATAAACCACTTTAACAATAACAATCTATCTTAAAATGGAAATAAATACATGACGTCATCTTTAAACATAAAATCGGTTTTACGATTAATTTCATACATTGCTTTCCATTCCTAATAACTATATGGTAGGTGATAAAATTTAACAGCAGTAGTTATGACAACAAAACCCTCAGCATCAATGAATGCGATTACAGCTCCCAGTCTTTAAGCTAGAAAAGTAGAATTGTAGAACATATTTACCGAGTTTATGAATTCCCCACATTTAATAAAATACTTTTGAATGGTTTAAAATACAAAATTTAATATTAAAGTGGATAAGATAAGATACAAACGCTTTTCAAAGTTTCCTAATAGGTATTCCTGTATATATTGGATATATCATCCAAATAATATACACTTATAAATTGAAAATCTCGTTAGATTAAATATAAATACGACACAGGCGGGACTGGAACAGGCATAGACATTTATATAAAACACTTTTACGGTTTAAAACGCAATATATTTTAGTTAAACTTGTATGATTTTTTTTAACTCTTTGCAGCAGCCGTAGCCACGGGGAGCAAAGCATCCGAAACGCCGTAGTTAAAAAAAATAACTTTCAAACAAGTTTAACTAAAATATATTGCGTTTTAAACCGTTAAAGTATTTTATTTAAATGTGTACTACTCACGTAAACTACAGACAGTATTTAGGCATATACATGTTAAAACATGTGTATTAAAGATGTCCATTATTTTTGCTTCAGAGGAGAAACAAAAAGAATCCACGGAAGAGGGTGGTCCCTCAGAGGTAGAAGCTGCCACTAAAATCCAAGCGGTTTTTCGAGGGCACAAGACAAGGAAATCAATAAGTATGAAGGCAGTCGAGAAGCCAGCTGAGAAGAACCAGGCGGAGCCGAGCAAGGCCGAGCTCGAAGCCGAGTTTAGAGCTGATGACAAAGGTGAGTTATCACCGAACAAAATATCTATACTAATATTATAAAGCTGAAGAGATTTTTTGTGTGAACGCGCTAGTGTCACGGACAAAAAATTTCGAATTGAACAAATCTTTTTAGCTGTGAAGTGCCGAGTATGTTGTAGAGTGAGATCGTACCCAAATTCAAAATGATGTCCAAAAGCATTCCAAGTAGACGAAGTCGCGGGCACAGCTAGTTGTAAATTATCACAAGGATTAAATACTTTAATCAATTTAAAATTTATTTGAGAATAGTGGGACCTACGGCTCTAGGCGTTTAGCGTACGAGAGCTGCATCTGTCAGTGTGGGGCGTTGTACCCAAACGCCAGCCTCGCCCATGTTTATAAATTAATACATGTACAAACAATAATACTAAAATGAAATAATATATTTGAGGCATTTTTTATGATAGAGGAAAGCAGACAAAGCATGGGGTTTATTTGATATGAATATGCACTGTGGACCAATTTTCTCTTTGAACTATTCATAAATCCGCATCGACCTATTGGCTTTGAGTATTCGCAAATCCATAGACTAAAACTGAAAGGCGATTAAAATTCACATCCTTCTTCCTCAGTGGACGATGGTTCGTGACCCGCACGGAATTCGATATTCCTATCACGCATTTAATAAAAAAAAACATATAAATAGATTTGAAACATATTGGACCCGTTGGGTATCAAACCCATTGATTATTATTAGTCATACTAAGCTACCATTAGACCGACGGGCTTGTCAAAAGAAATATACACGTTATTTTGTCACTGCGCATATGTTCAATTACATTGCCGCATATGTCCCCAGCCTGGTAGTGCATAATTTAATAGCAATGCAGAGTTGTTTCATGTTTAATATTACCCAAAGTGGATTTACCTTATTTTCTTGGACAAGTGAATAATTAATGCGAGCCGGCTGTCCTGTGCGGGATTACGTTTATATTATACCGCATTTATATAAGTCTATGTACTCTGCTTTAATCATAGACTATAGTGGAGTAAGAACAAATACAGTTCTATACGGTTAGTAGCACTGTTTTAGTTTAATAAATTATAGCGTTAACAATACATAAAGACGTCATATTATATTATACTATTAAAGAAAGCAATTTTATCGGTTTAGAACGCGAAAAATATTGATTATCTTATTTTAATTTAAAAATCGACTCGGACCGGCATCGTCAGCGTTCGGTGCTGTTGCTCTACCAATTGAGCTACCGAGTCCATTGTCAATTGGTAGAGCAACAGCACGGGCCGCATAGAAGCAGCATGGAAGACTTGTCTTCCGAATATTCAAAGCCAAAATAGGTCGATAGCGCATCTTGTTTAAATGTTATGTGGCTGGGCTATTTTCACCTACCTTGCAGTAAACCGTGTGCTTGTTATCATTAAAAAGACAGAAAATCCATCTTTAGGCCCTCCGTGACCACGGCAGCTGCAAAATATCAGAAACAATGAACATAAGTTAAAATAAATTGTAAATAAGTAATATATTTCGTGTTTTAAACCGTTAAATAATTTAATATGACGATTATAAAAGACTTTGTGAAACTTGTTTAGACATATAAGCTATCCAACTTTATAATTTTAATAAGACCAGGTGTAAGATGGATACTTTTACTACCTCACGCCTAAACGGCATGATTGATTTTGATGAAACTTCGAATCCAGGTTAGCATAAATAAACGTCAGTAGTAGTCAAGTGAAACGCCGATAATACATTCTCAATAGCGACGGTTTTATACCAGCCTAGTATGAAAAGTGTACTCCAAGGTAAGTTCAAACTTGTGGTATATCTTTATCCGCGAACAGATAACTTGCAACTCAGAATACCTATAGAAACTTTGAACTGTTATCATTTCCTCAACTTTATCCCGTTCAAACAATGGAGGAAGTTGAAGCTATAACTATTTAGAACTTGTGGAGTGAAATTTCGAGAAACAAATTTTATATAAACTGTGCCCGCGACTTAGTCTCTATAGAACAGTTACTTTAGGCATCATATTCGAAGTTGGTATTTGGCCAGTTTCACCAAATACCATCTTCGACGGAACAGATGGCATTAAAGAAGCAGTTTTTTACTTTGACGTCAGGGACACTCTCCCTCTAGTCTCCCCTTGACCATGGCTGCTGCAAAACATCCGAAACGTCGGGCCGTAGTTAAAATAATTTTGAAATAAGTTTAGCTAATGTATATTGCGTTTTAAACCGTTAAAGTGTTTTATGTAAATGATATTATATATTTTTCAAACCTCCTCTATACTATACTACACTACTATAGAAACGTGAAGAGTTTGTTTGAACACGCTTATCTCACGCACTACTGGCTCGAATTGAAAACTGTTTTTGTGTCGGTTAGAGCATTTATCTCAGAAGGTTATAATCGCGCTGAGACCTATAGACGCGAAGAAATAAAGGAAAATATTGTAAAAACAGGGAAAATAATTCATGTTTGTGGTTTCCCGTTCAAATGATAAATTATAAATAAATTACGTGAAAAATTCCGTGGTAAACAATATGTTTATTTCCTAACATTAACTTAAAGAATGACGGGTCGTGGGGAGAAGCTATAATATATAAAAGAGGAGATTGTTTGCAAAAGAAGTTGTTTTTGATTCTCAAAATAACTATTCTACGCAGACGAAGCCGTGGGCACGTCTTGTTAAACAATATAAAAGATAATAAAATCGTTATTTATTTACTTAGAAACATCTCCAATATACAGTAGATAGTGGTTTAATATCGAGCAAGAGAAATCTCATTAAATTTTGTTCTAGTAAATTCTTTTAATAAAATTCAGCAATTGCCAATCGAATTTCCAATAAAACTCAATCCAACGGAGGATTTCCTCACAATCAAAGTTATCTGCTTCAAAACGAATTTTGTATTAAACAACTTCTACCTTAACAAGTGGACTTTATTTGAGTTCTGTATTTCTGTTGAGAGAGAATAATGAAAGGTAAAAAACGGAATCAATTTAATAGTATCCCACCTCTGGACAGATCCCCATAACTTTCAATCGTGTTTAATGTTGTCTAGATTTTTTGATGAAATAATGGGTGGATATCGAAATTTCGTTCGTGTCACGAACCACCGTCCACAGATTCGAGCGAAATTTTAGTACGTATATTTAGAATAGTCACTAATTTGGTGGCGCTAGTCGTTTGAGCTCACCAAACCACATCCGAGGATGTGGTGGGTTTGAGATTTTAAAGCCGAGACTTGTGTTCAGTTATGGGCCAGTGAGTTGAAACTAATTATATACTAGCTGTCTATAAAAAGCCTTCCTCGATCTTCCTCGTCCAACTAACGCAAAATAATCCTAGTAGTTTTTATTAAGGTGATCTAAAGAGATGTCCGCGACACTATATGATTATCTCTTAAGATTAACTCACGAGAAGCGGTTTTGGTAATCAACTTTTAGTTGAAATACTTCATATGGCAAGAGAACGATTGCTAGATTAGGTAGTAATGAATAAGGATTTAACATAATTGTTGAAAAAGAAGAAGAAGAATTTCTAAATATTACCGTATATGGATATCAAACTTGCAGACTCAGAGGATAGATTAAACAATGGACATTAAAGAGAAAATTATCATTGGGAACAATACATGTATAGTTAAATGTATTCCAACCCATCTCCAAAGTTGCAGTAATAATTCAATAGATACGAAATCCGAAATTATTGCAATACAATGAAGTTAGTCTGTGGAGTTGAAGAACTAGTATTATTTTACCATCCCACTATTCTACTCCATGCCATTGAACAATAAATAATATGACTAGATAGATACATACACAATTATGATTGTGTATGTATCTATCTAGTCATTATCTTCTAATGTATATATGTTTGTTATTCTTTCACTATAAAATTGTTAAATTGTGTTTAATAAAATTGAGTATCCATATCACGAATGCCATAAAAGTCAAAATTTCTTTTTATGCCTGATGTTGAAAAAGATCTGATATTTTTTTTCTTCTTTATTCTTATTTAACAGTGTGGCACTAGTATTAACTGTACACATTACAATAAAGATAACACAGACTTTTGTCTTCAATATGCGTAATTTACCAAGTTTTAGTCTCATGCTAAGATACTGTCGATAGTTTACGCGAGTAGTACATATTTAAATAAAACACTTAGACGGTGACCACGGCTGCTGCAAAACATCCGAAACGTCGGGCCGAAGTTAAAAATTATTTTCAAATAAGTTTAACTAATATATCGCATTTTAAACCGTTAAAGTGTTTTATTTAAATGTTAAAATCAAGTCAAGTGAATCCTTTAGTCATTCATCCACCTCTACCAGAAAGCTAAATATAACATATTTATTTACTTTCTTTAAATAGCTCGTTCTAAACACATTCTCCTTTCAAACAGTGCTGTCATCCTTTCCTAAGTCAAAGTACGCCACAAAGCTTTCTATTTTCTGATCATAATACATTCCGTTATAAAAGACACGATTCAATTGTTCGTTGAGATCCGACTCAAATACGCTTGTAGGGTTTCAAGGACTGGGCGGTCGTGCCCCTATGTTTCCAAAGAGGTCGATCAATTCTGAGTTGAGTATTGAGTTTTCAAACGATCGCTTTTTTATACAAGAACACGCGAATCGGGAAAACCAGTATTTTATACGATAATAAAAATATATATTATTTTCTTTTAGTCGATTTGAAACCAAAGATGGAAATCTTCGATTTCATGAGACAGCCGAAAATGTTCATACATAGCCTACATAAAAAGAAGACCAAAAACCTAATGAGACTAACGAGAGCGAAGATCCGACTCATCGTAGAATTCATAAGAGGACATTGTCGTCTAAATTGACATCTTACAATGATGGGGATAGGATGTTGATAATGATCTACTCACCGAATGTTCTGTGTACTCGAGACTAACACTAATACATATGGGTTCGGACGAAGTAAAGAAAGATTACATCAAAGAACTAAAGATGGAACAAATAGTAAGATTTTGCAAGCAA